TAAATGTAATATATTTAAAATTACCATTTTATGTTAATTATGAAAGAAGTTTTTAAAAGGAAATGAAGTAACTAATTTAGTGTTTATTAAAACTTTTAATAAACAAAAAGATAATTACATAACAAATATCTATAACAGTTAGATATTTGTATTACTATTACCATGAGCGGAGACTATGAGTTTTAAATACACCCTGAAAATGCAATAACCTGTAAAAAATAAAACATCAGAGTTGTATATACTACGAGTACCAATTTAAATAACATATTATGCAATAACCAAACAAATTTATAAAAAAAACTCAAATTCAGATGTTTACCATCTTTATGCTCATGCTAAAGTATTTATATATTGCCAAGACCAAACAAAAACCATTTCAAAAAGTGGGTTACACAAAGCATGAAAAATAGGAAATGGTCAATTTCAGGAGCCACGCTTATTCAAAACCTGCATAAGTAAGTTCAATTGGCTGAATCTTAAAAACTTAGCATGATACCAGTAGACCCAATTTGAAAAAATTGCCTTTTTTTTAACGGTTTGTTGTATGTTATTTTACAATGGTATTTTATTACCTTATGACGCTGACCTCAATAGGTTAGCGAAATATTGTTAATATACTTTTATATCAAAATGTACTTATAAAAAAGAATATATGCTGCTATTTTCGGCTTTAACTATTAAATGATAAAAAAAATGAACATTGCAAGTTAGAAGATGCCAAATGAGACCAATTCAAAAAATATCAAGTCTGGTGAAGTTTGTATTATTCAGTAAATATTTAGAGGTTCCACAGAGTCTCTGATGTTTCACCGGGCATGTCATTTTCCTTACGGACAGTCCTCAAATTCGAATCATTAGTTTCCTTTCAAGTTACTGGATGCTGTTATGTAAGTATTCATCATATTGTTTGATATAAGATTTGCTATGAAAAGTCCATTAAATTTATGATTGTTTTGTGCAGAACTGCTTTGCTGTATAGTTTAACTTTTTGATTTAATGCAAAAAAGGATAAATTCAATAATTTGCATTGCTAAACTTAAATTGAACTGCTGTTACTGTGTGCTTGTTGCAAGTCACTACAGTTGTGTGGCTTAATATATCTATTGCATCAAGTTTGATTAATTAAATAGTATGCATTGGTTACTAGGTGCTATTGCATCACTCATCAATAATTCAATATTTTAAGATGATGTCCGCAGTAGCTACAATATTGAATGTATTGATGAGTAGAAAATGATTATTTGATTCATATTTATAAAATTTAAATTAATTCTGAATTACACGCTTACAAAGGTAGCAGCATAAGATATTATTGTATATTAATGTTTATTTCTGAAGCTTAAATATATACAAAACAACAATGACAAACTCTTGTAACTATTATGAACTATATACAACGTGACAGAATAGGCCAACTCTACGGGGCTGGATAAATTACAATTAAGAAGTATGTTTTTTTGCTGTTTTATCAGCAAAAAAACATACTTATATTGCATTATGTTTTTGTATTTGTTTTACTGGTTACGGTTCACAACGGCCACGACAAAACCGCAAATGATAAAGCCATGGAGAGAAGACATCAGCTGGCTGAGACCATTACAAGAGATGACTCTAGGTTTGTCAATGCTTCACAGCCACTGAGTGCATTTGTAACCTCAAGCACCAGAATGTTCTTTGAGATCCTTTAGCTTAGGTTTGCGCTTCTGTGGTTGTCACGGGAGCAGTGGAAGGGTAAGAGTGACTGCATTGCCTCAGAACAAATCGTGTCAGCTTTAACTTTAGTTAATTACTCTGCTGAGAGAGGAGAGAAACTCGCACAGGAATACAAACCACAGCTAACCAAAAATAAAAGACAGGAACAAAACTTATTGCAGGTTAACCAGGTACATCGCCATAAACTTTCAGAGTAGAAGTAAGGCTTTTTTTCGTTGGTTTTATTGATATAACTGTAAGTCATACTTTTATTGTTATTAAGTGCATTGGTACAGTGGCAATTGTTACATAATAATAAACAATTTGCTGTTGATATTAAAGTGAGTTACTTTAATACATCAAAAGATTGCTTTTTGCAATGTACTTAGAAACTTTGAATGACTTACAACCTCTAAAAACGGTTCAAATCGCTTTTAATTTCTAAAATATTTTTGTTTTGTAGATAGATATGATTAGGAGGTTTCAATGTGCACTTTTTGAATATATAACTAGAACGTTTTTAAAAACATTCTAATATATATATATATATATATATATATATATATATATATATATATATATATATATATATATATATATATATATATATATATATATATATATATATATATATATATATATATATATATATACGCTTCCTTTACTCTTTTATTTAAAGATAGACAAGTAAAAGATTAGTCTCAGTCATGAAATTTTGACAATTCAAATTGCTATAAAAAGTTGTAATTAGAGGAAAAATTTCTTTAGTTTGATTTTGAGAAGCTGGTACTTGGAGTTTTGCATTTTGAAAGGCTTTTTATATAACATTATCAGTATATTCATATTCTTTTAGCCATGCTTTTAGTTCTACTGATTGCTGTTTTTTTTTTTTTTTTTTTTTTTTTTTGTAATCAGATGAGAAAAAAGGTATTCTTTTAGAAAGATTGAATAGGAAGTTCTATTTTATATGATACGACTGATGACTTTTAAATTTTATACGATACGACTGATGACATTTATATTTTATATGATACGACTGATGACTTTTATATTTTATATGATACAACTGATGACTTTTATATTTTATATGATACGACTGATGACTTTTATATTTTATATGATACGACTGATTACTTTTATATTTTATATAATACGACTGATGACTTTTAAAATTTAGGTAATCATGAGTATTGTCTTTTTTAAAATAAATTCTGTTTTTATTTCATTACTATTTTCAAAAATAACAGGTACGTCTTCAAAATTGATCATAATGTAATTGTTACAATCTTTTGCAACTTTTTTGCCCAGTCGGTTTTATACTAATTGAATTATATATTTCAGTTAAAGAACTTACTGACTTTACTATATCTAATTATTTTGGCAAGAATATGAAACCGAATCAATATATCAATAATAAGGTTGTTTTATATCATTATTAACTTGATTGGTAAATGATTTAGATAATATTTTTGAAAAAAAAACTTGTTTTTTCTAAAAACCCAAGTGCTACATATGCGTAATCTATAGCAAAATCAGTACCCGTTGCGGTTCTTGTAATTTGGGGATACATTTTGTCATTAGACAGAAAGTTATTATTTTTAGAATAAAAGATGCTTAATCTAATAAAAAAAAATTTTGAGTGAATCTTTCATCTATTATATCTTTAAGTTTTGTAATCTATAACTTTAATGCTTCAAATCCTAACTTGTTTGGAATACTAATATTGAGATTAACAACGTCACATGTCAAAATAAAACTTTCTCTCTATAAATTTTGCATCTTTTTTAAAAAATCCGAATCATCTTTAATCAAAGTTTTTTGTTTTATAGCAAAAGGAAATGTGTAAGAACTGATTTAGGTGTGATGTTGGCGAGTTAATTCCTGCAATAATTGGTCTACCCTTTCGGTCTTCTGGTGGTTTTATATATATATATATATATATATATATATATATATATATATATATATATATATATATATATATATATATATATATATATATATATATATATATATATATATATATATATATATATATATATATATATATATATATATATATATATATATAACAAGAGAATATTATTTCTGTCAATATTTTTAAACTTCAAATAAAAAGAAAACTTATTAGCTTTTAAAAGCATTAAAATATAACGAAAAAAAGTAACCCAATTATAATTTTAACTTTTAATGATTCGCGCGCGTGTCACAAGTTTATTACTATACGACCGTGCTGATCATTCAGAGTAAGATATCTATGTAGTATAATTCTATGTAATATAGTTTTTATTTTTTTCTAAAAACTAAGTAGGGATGGCAATCCCAGGAGCAATATATTGTATAATATTAAAACTAGTATAATACAAAAAACAAGTAAAATTTAAGAGCTTGGTAATGGAAAGAACAAGAGTTTTTAATAGAAGGTATACCTTAATTTTAATTCTAATTTTCTGCTTCCAAAAGTGTGCGCGGTTTTAATTTCAAAATTAAACCCATTCATTTTAATTCCAAACGTGTGCGTGACTTAAATTCCATTTTTATTTCCATTAACTTTAATTTCAAATATGTGAGTGATTGATGAAAGTTTTTTTAACCTCAATTTAATTAATTAAGTTATCAAAAAATAGGTTTTACCTTTTTTGAAATTTTTTTTTTTTTTTTAATTTTCTAATCGTCCGTTTAGTTAATGTAGTCTTGCATATTTATTTTATTTTTTAATTATCATTTTTATTTATTCTGTGTTACCATTTCAAGGTATTGTTATATAGTTTAAAGTATTTAGGTTCATTAGATTTTAAAAGTCGTAGATAACTTTCAAAATAACAAAATTAAGTTAAAACAATTTTTTAACTTAATTTTAGGTTCATTAATTTATTAAATATTTTGGTTATACTATTATTAATATAATCATTTTTAAGTGTTTGATGAGTACTTAAAGAGTATTCAAATGCATCTTTTCTATTAAATCCATGGAAATCCCGGGATTTCCTAAGGACAAGTTTATCAATCTCGAAATTCCGGGGATTGAAAATTCCGAGATTTTTGCCATCCCTGAAGTTATTTGAGTTTTTTATTATATTTATTTTTAAATGCAATTTTGCCAATCAGAAAAAATAACCTTTGAAAAATTTTAACTTTATTTAGCTTATTTAATTAACTTGTTTTTCTTTGCCTGTTGAAAAAAAAGTTAGAAGGATTATATTAAAAACCGGCATAAAAAAAAACCTTGAAAAAGTTACTTAATTTTAGGTAATAGTTACTTTTACTATTAGAATGTTATAAAAGATTTCTGTAATTATTTTCTTTAGGTCCAACAACGCAATTACCAACAACAACACGAACAACAGGATCAACAACAGTTAATGGTAACAATTTGTTCAATTATTGAAATTCATTAATGGTCATATTATTCACCGATTAACGTTGTTGCATAGTGTCAAAATATTACAATATAAAACAAGTTGACGAGGATAACTGTAAAACAAAAACATATGTACTATTTTTACAAAAACTTTACTCATGTCACTAATTTATAAATATTTTTGTTTTTATATTTTACTCTTTTTAATGTCTTCTCTTATTTTAGCGGGTTGTTTTATGTTACTTTCTAACATAAAACTTAAAGGATCTGATTTTAGTACATAAACAAATCTTATTATTTGTTTACTTATGATTTTTGATTTTTTTAACTTAATATTTTTTGTTTTTTATTTATTGTTTAATTCAAAAATTTTAAAAAAACAACAACAGTAACATCAAAAAAACAGAATTTAGTTGAATTTCTTTGCAATGGAACCCAATAAAAAAATTCAATTAAAAAAGATATTTAAATAAGCACCAGTTTGAATTCTAGTTTTCAAATCACCAATATACTTCGACAATTTCTCAAAACAACAAGCCTCGACTTTTTGACAACTCTTATCCTGGATTTCACAAGTTAATATGTTCGTGTACAAAATTTTATTTAAGTGAAATTAAGGTCACGTTTACAACACGGTTTTGCCATCATAAAAGTCATACCATTAAAAGAAAGTTGAAAAAAGTATCTGTGCAAGGCAATGCGGTAGTTGCCATGGTATCTATGGCTGAATTTGGATGAATAAACACCTCTAAAGAAGCAGCAGACTATTTTAATATAAAAGTATGTGAGTTTAAGGAAAAAAATAGTCACCAGTTTTCTCTAAATGAAGTTGGTTTGCATGAAAATGATTATGATGACGTGATGTTGCCATTTTATTAACTCTATTTAAAACTTTATGAACCTTATTTAAAATTTCAATAACCCTATTTAAAATTTAAAAACCTTATTAACCCTATATAAAATTTTATAAACCCTATTTAAAACTTGTTCGTTTTTTAACGATTCTTTATATTACTTAAATAATGATGGTATAAATATAATGGTATAAACCCTAAAACTTTTGCACTAAACTATTTTGAGTTTTATAGCAATAAATTTATATACAAAAAACAAATGTTTTAACTTCATTTCGTTAATTAAAAGCTTAAATAGATGACAAGTTTTAAAAGTTGTTTAATTTTTTATTTATAACCTGATGACGCTGACATGATTAGGTCGACAAATTATTGTTTTTTTGTAATTTTATCAAAATATATTTAAAAAAGTTTTATGCTGTCTTTTTTTTTGATTTTATCTTATTATACGTTATTAACATATTGTATAACAAGATAATTACTTTTTAAGATATATATTTACGTATATATTCATATTAATGAAAACTTAAAAAAATAATGATTTAATAGCTTTTAATTATTTTTTTTCAGTGTGCTTTAATTATCAATTTCAATGTTTTAATGATGAGTGTATTCCACTGTTTTGGAAATGTGATGGTCGCTATGATTGTTCGGATAATTCAGACGAAGATCCATCTATTTGTAGTATAGTATTTGCTCTCTTTTTTAAACTGAGTAAAAAAAATTTATTATGATCAAACCCCATTAATTACAATATTATCGTGTCAATTTATTTATCACTAAAATAATGTTTGAATGATTTTTTAAATTCTAGTTATTTTTTTTTTATTACGTTTTCATTAATATGAATATATTAATGAAATATATATTCATATTAATGAAATTTATATTCATGTTATAAACACTTGATTTTTGTGGATATTCGAGTTTTTTATTACATTTATCTAAAAATAATTTTTTTGGAAAACAAAAGTTAACGTTTTATTGCATTTAGTATCGAATATGAGACTAAATCAACTTACTTAGCATAAACACATTTATAGTCTTTAACCTACATTTGCATTTTTTTGTTTACTTTTCTAAATAATACTTGAATCGGAAAAAAGAAAGGGTTTTTGCTGTCGCTGATACCATTAGAAAACTGTGTACATTTTTTTGTTTACTTTTCTAAATAATACTTGAATCGGAAAAAAGAAAGGGTTTTTGCTGTCGCTGATGCCATTAGAAAACTGTGTACATTTGCCTTCCCAAAGGCAACTGTACACAGTTTTCAAAACGTGATTTTTATTTGAAAACTTAAAACCGTTTTCTATATTTTTACTCTATTATTTGTACTATAACAAATTAATTTGTGATTCTTGGGTAAGAAGTTTACAATTTATATTAGCTAGGTTAGATAAATATAAAATCATAATAAAAGATATTGATCTTTTAAGTTTTTTTGCTAAAATGCAAAATTAAGCACTAGTGTTACTTGTAATAAAAAATCATTAAAATTAAATTTTAAATCTTACATAAATACAATCATCAGTATTGTGTTTACTAAAACATAAGTTACTGATTTAAAGAAATTTTCATGAAAATTTATAATTTAGAGTGCACAGTTTTTTAAACTGATGTATTTTTTGCCACTATTGTTACACTTTTAGCATGATATTGTCATAATATTTGCAGTTTAAGGTCGATTTATTACTGCCTCTTCTAAGTCTAGCAGTCATTGATGATTCTATAAGTATTGACTTGAAAATAATACCAGAAAAATGATTGTGTTTGTGTTATATTAGGTTGTTGTAAATTAAAATTTTATATTTTTTTATTTATTTTTATTTATCTATTTATTATTTTTCTCTTAAACACCCAGTAATAAAATTACAGGTTAATTAATTTATAATAAAACAGTTAAAAATTTAATTAAGGCCAATTCTGGCTCTCCAAATATTTGTCTTTAATGCCAATAACTAGACCGACGGTTAGATCTATTTTAGGAATATTCTCCTCCATAATTGTTTTAAATTTTTCTTTTTGTTCTTTTAAGTTCTATAATTGGAATGCTTCTTTTAATATAGATATAGTATAAGCTTGCAGTTCTTCTTGAGGTAGTGTGAATTTAATTTTTAACCCTCTATCATGCATTGAAAAATGTTAAAGCCACGAGTTTTAAATATAGCAATCACTTCATTTATAAACGATTTTTTATTTTGTGTTGCCAGAAATTGACTTATTATCAGCGAATAGCTAACTTGATTTTTCATTAACCTTATTAATAGGTTTGGAAGAAGAATAGTAAAAATAAATTTTACTTAAAAAAAAAAATGTAGGTAATTTTTGCTATACTTTAAAATACAAAAAAATGATTTTAAAACTGCTTTTCCAACAGCACCTATGTTTCTTAGAAAACTAATGTCAGAGTTGCATAGCTCAAAACCATATATAAGCTTTTGCATTGTCAAGGTATTGTATAAATGGACTATTGTTAACGGATGATTAAAACGAATTTCATTGTCAAATAGAGCTACTGTAACCGATTGAAACTGCGTTATACGTTCATTTAGATTTGTTTTAGAAGTGTTGCGATTTTGTTTTTGTTGGTACTTTATCCCATTGGAAATCCAGATGCTTTAATTTATTTTGGAGATGTATATAAGTTCTGTTATTTTGAATAATGTTGTTGGAAATGGAACTTTTACCAGATATCAGAAATTCCGTTTTCTCAGTGTTTAGCTTGGTAAAATTTAAAATTCGATATGTTTGAAATCTGTCAATCAGTTCTTGCAGGCTAGAGATTGTTGGACTTTATGTTTTATAGTTTTTATAGGATTTCCAAAAGAAGTGAAAAAAACCTCCAAAAGATTAGGAACTACTAGCCTTTCTAGATAACTTAGATGATAGTGGGGATGACTTAGAAAGATCTTGTGATGATCAAAAAGATATTGAAGATATTTGAAGATATTAAAAATATTAAAGATGATCTGCAAAATTGAAAACGGCAGTGACAGTAGGGTTGATGCTAAGAATTCAAAATAGCAGTTTAACACAACCCAACGACTCTGCCATATTTTATTGTATTGTTATACTATTATTTCAATATATATAAAAGAAAAATTTATATGCTGCATTTTTATTAAAATATACTTTTATTTTATTTACAAATCGTTTAACATGAAAATGTCTAATTAAAATATATTTAAATTCGTTAAATATATATATATATATATATATATATATATATATATATATATATATATATATATATATATATATATATATATATATATATATATATATATATATATATATATATATATATATATATTTGTGTGTGTGTGAAAAATTTCATGAAGTATTATATATGCATATATAAGAGTTTATAGTTACTATTTATTACTTTTCAGTGTGCAGCATTAATCCGTTTCAATTCTTATTGGGAACTGCATTTCACTGTATTGGAAATGTGACGAAGTCTATGATTGCTCTGATATCTAAGACAAAGAAATTTTTAAATCAAGGATCTTTTAATAGAAAGATTTATACATTATATTAAAAAAAAACAAAATATAAAACATTTATATTTTGTTTTTTTTAAATAAAAAAAACAAAATTTAAATGTTTTATATTTTGTTAAAAGTTATTATATCAATTCAATTATTCTTAAATAACTCTTTTACATATATATAAAACAAATTTTTTTTAATAATATGATTATTGTAGAAATCTATTTGTAAAAAAATTTAAATACAATAAAATATGAAAACTAATGTGAGACAAAATACGATTTAACTTTCTTAAAAAGTACACGTTTGAATTTTTAAGGAAATAATAAATTCAATTTCTAATGGGATAACGGTACTAACAAAAAAAAAATCGCAACACTTCAAAAAACAAATCTAAATGAACGTATAACGCAGTTTCAATCGGTAGCAATAGCTATAATTGACAGTAAAATTCGTTTTTGTTAGCCGTATAGGGATTAACTGTTGTCAACAATTTCGAGTTCAATCTTTAAATGATTTATTCTATGACCTACAACACGTAAAAAAACTTTTTAGTTTGCAACCTTTATATAAGTATATCATATATTGCAATTTTACAAAAGCATTAGTTTTTAGGTTAAAAATTTTTACAAATACATTATAATTAAACAAACCATGCATGTTTATTAAATTGTTTCTAATACATAAAACATTTTCTATTGCATAAAATGCGTTTTAATTTCTCAAAAATTAGTATTTTACGAGTAATAAACCATTGACTAAAAGAAGTTAGCAAACCAAAAATGTCAGTTAAATGTCAGGTATCGTATCAGCAAAGACTTTGTTTTTTTGCATAAGTTTGTTGTATGTTCAAAACAGTGAAACTTTCACGAATCTTGCGCACTTGCGTTTAACAAAACTTATGTAAGACTTTTGTAAGTTCAGCGCAAAAAAATCGGTATTTACCGAGCTGAAAGTTCATTTTACGGAAAATTTTTGAAGTTCAGTGCAAAAAAAATTGGTATTTACCAAGCTAAAACAGTTTTCACTAAACTTTTTAATTAACGAATATTGTCCACTTGCGTTTTACAAAACTTACGTAAGATTTTTGTAAGTTCAGCGCAAAAAAATCGGTATTTACCGAGCTGAAAGTATGTATATATATATAAGGTTTTTATTATAATAATTATATAACATAATATCTTATATAAAACAAGTGTAACATTGTTATATAAAATATAATAACATATAATAGCATATTATATATTGTTTAAAGTATAAGTAATATATTATATGTTTTAAAAGATGCTATATTGTTACGATGTTTGTCACCAATAATGTTGAGGAGCAAACCAAATTCTTCAGAAGCAAAAATGCTTATATGAACGTGGTTTTTTTTTAAATAATTGAGAGTTTTCAAATAGTATTTGGTAAAAGTTACTATTCAATTATAAAAAATTAGTAACAAAAAAAGAATATTTTTTTGATCATTTATTGTTTAAAATGTTTGTTAATAATTGACAGTTACAAATGAAGTTTGAAAGAGTTGATTTATCGACAACTTAGTTAGAATTAACTTTTTTCCTTTATCAGAGATGTTGTGAAAAAGTTACCTTGATAAAGGTTTTTATTTTTTCTATTTCTGATTAAAACAGATATTGGAATATAAACCTAATGCAGGTTTCCTTTTTGCTTGGTAAAAGTCATGATTATACTATTTAATCAACTACACCAGAAATAATATATTTCAATAAAGTTCACTCTCAGGTAGATAGTGGTATATTTCAGGTAAATAGGGTCATCCGTAAAGTACTTCACGTTACTAGAGGGAGACGGGAGGCATAATTTTGTGACAATTGGTGATCACGGGGAGTTTCTCGAATGTGACGTCATAAATATTATTTTAGCATGACAGTTTAAATTTTACTTACTCAGCTAAAAGATTGTTTTAGACTGTCAATAATTTTGCTCAAACTTCTTATGTTTTGCGTATCGCCGTATTTTAAAGAGTTTTAAACACATTAAAAAGTTCGCAAAAATTGCTTTCACGTTTCTGAAGACAATAAAACGCAGCGATGCAAACTCGTTCTGATGATTTGATAATGATGCTCTGTTCAAAAGAAAAAAAGTATACTGATGAGTTTCTAGGTAAATCAATCATTGCGACATGATGATGCGAAAACTATACCTAATAAATTATCGGCCTTCGATGAT